TTTCGTGTCCCTGTCGCTGATGATCGACGCGGGTATCCCGTGCAGGCGTACGACGGTGGAGATGAATAGTCGGGCGGTTTCCTCGGCTGTGATGGATTTCCTGCATGCTGCGAAATGAGCCATTTTCGTTAGTCGATCGACGACGACCAGGATCGCGTCATTCCCACTCGCCCCAGCTGGTAACCCCGTGACGAAGTCCATCGTCACCTGCTGCCAAGCACGCTCTGGAGGCGGGATGGGTTGTAATTGCCCCGCTGGTCGCTTCCTGCTTGTCTTCATGAGCTGGCAAGTGGGACACGATGCCACGTGTCGTTGCACGTCAGTCAACATTTCTGGCCAGTAGTAGTACCGCTGCAGCTGCTGCCGTGTTTTTTCTACCCCGAAATGTCCCGAGGTAATTCCGTCGTGTGCTTCCTGTAACAGTAGTTCCCGAAGTAACGTGTATCCCGGTACCCAGATGCGGTCGGTTCCAGTTTTTACGTAATAGACTCCTTTTGCCGCTGCGAATTGCTGTGAGTTGCCTCCTGTAAAGAACGGGTCTGTTTGATATCCGTGGGTAAATAGGCCGGTAAGCAGTGGGCTGGTCTGGGCGAGTAGTATCGCGTGGATCTGGGCAGTGGGGCGGGTCAGTGCGTCGGCGATATTCGATGCTCCTTTTTTGTATGTGACCGTATAGTGAAAATTCGACTCGAGGAAATCGAGCCATCGAATCTGTCGTGGGTTGAGGTGGGGCTGTGCGCGGAGGTACTGTAGAGATCGGTGGTCTGTCCGTACTGTCACGTCTGCGCCAGTCAAGTAGCAGCGCCAAACTTTGAATGCATGCACGATCGCGAGCATTTCGCGGTCGTGTATCGGATAATTTCGCTCAGGCGGATGTAGTTTTCGTGATTCGTAGGCGATGGGTTGGAGGCCGTTGCCGAAGTCCTGTAACAGTACAGCTCCGATGGCGATGTCACTTGCGTCGGTAACCACTTCGAAAGGGCGGTGGGGATCAGCGATGCGTAGGACAGGTGGTGAGCAGAGAACGTTTTTTAGGGCAGAGAAGGCAGCATGCTCTTTCTCCCCCCACGTAAAAGCGACCCCCTTACGCAGTAAATCAGTTAGTGGGGCGGTTAAACGTGCCATGTCGGGCACGAACCGTCGAACGTAATTAACAAACCCTAAAAAACTCTGCAGTTCCGTGATGTTCGTCGGGGGGCGCCACGCTTTTACCGTGTCCAGCTTCTTTGGGTCAATCTCAACCCCAGCCTCTGAAATGACGTGACCTAAAAACTCTAGCCTATCCCTAAAAAACTCGCACTTGGAGCCCTTGGTGAGCAGCCGATGTTCCTCCAAAACCTTAAAAACTGCTTCAAGATCTGCTAAGTGTTGCTGCTTATCCCGACTGTAAACGAGGATATCGTCTAGGTAAACGATGACGCATTTATCTAAAAGTGGCCTAAATGCCTCGTTCATGGTCATCTGAAAAGTCGCAGGCGCGTTCGTCAACCCGAAGGGCATTACTGTATACTCGAATGACCCGTACCGAGTCCTAAATGCTGTTTTTGCGCAGTCCGATGGTTCGACGCGAATCTGATGGTAACCTCCTCGTAAATCTATTTTCGAAAAGACACGTGCTGTTCGCAGTTGGTCAATCAGTTCGTCGGCGCGGGGGATGGGGTATCGCGATTTGACTGTTACTCGGTTAAGCGCTCGGTAGTCGATGCACATGCGAAAACCTCCGTCTTTTTTCGGTGTGAACAGTATGGGTGCGGCGAACGGTGACGAGCTCGGTCGAATAAACTGCTTCTCTAACAGGTAATCTAACTGCTTCCTTAACTCGTCGAGCTCGGGCTGTGTCAGTCGAAATTGCCGCTGTACTGTTGGCTGTGCCCCCGGTTCTAGCTCGATCCTATGGTCGTGCGCTCGCTGAGGTGGCAGTCCCTGTGGTAAATCATCCGGAAATATCCCCGGGAACCGTTTCAGTAGTGCTTGTAATTCGGTCGGTACGGCTGCTAGCAGTTTCTGTAAATCGTTCTGCTGCTCGTCTTTTTCTACCACTGCGATATCCACTGCGTACACGTCAGCTCCAGCAGCGACAGCCCGTTTCATCGCGATGGCGTTGACCTGGACTGTCGAAGATTCGGGTGGCCGCCAGCGAGGTAGGACGACCCAGTTACCGCTACTTCGCACTGTGCAGCTCCCCGTCGTCCAGTCGATCCGTGGGTTGTACCGTCGCAGCCAATCACGTCCCAGTAAAATGTCGTGCCCATCCAGCGTCGTTGCGAGCATTTCCTGTGTAAACCCGAAGTTTCCCCCGCAGCGAACTTTTACTCGCTCCACCTTTTCTCGTATGGCCAATGGCGTGCCGTCGACTAAGCGTGCATCTATCTCAGGTAAACATCGGTTAAGTGTTAACTGTAATTTCCGTGCGGTTGCAGTATTAACTAAGCTGTGACTTGCTCCTCCGTCAATGAAGATTTTCACTGCTGCTCCCTGTATTTTCCCGTAGATCAGTACCGGGCAATCCGTCGCTGTACCCTCCTTATTCATCCGAGCCCGATCGATGGCGTGAATCGGTACTGTGACTCGGTGAGGGTCGGTGTGGTTGGGCGAGCAGGCAGTCTCGTCAGTAGTTGGCCCAACTTCTACTGACTGCTGGCGTTTCCCTGCCTCTGAGACTCCTTCCCCTGCTCTGCTCCTCGACGCCTCAGCTCCTCTGGACATTCGCTCTTGCGATGGCCCGGCCGGTTGCAAGCAAAGCAGCGCCCTCTAAATGGCGTGGCAGCTGCATTCGTTGCGACGGCATGTACAGTGGCGTGCTCGATCGGTCCCCGAGGGCGATGTCCGAAATAGGACCCCGGTCTCGGTCGGCGTAGGATATCGATTTTCTCGGCGAGCGCGAGGATTTCGTTGAAATTCGATAGCCCGCGTAGCATTATCTCGTGCGATATGTCCGCCTTCAGCCCTCCGACGTAACGGTCCACCCGCTCCGCCTCGTGCATGTAGCCGACCTGTTCGCAAAGTGCGAGAAAACCGCTGGTGTAGTCTTGAACCGACCCGAGCTGGCGCCAAGTGCGCAGTTTCTGACGCGCCGAAATCGAAGCCGCGATCGGCTCAAAACGCGCCCGAAGCCCTGCGCACCACGCATCCCACGTGCTGTATTGGGCTGTTTCGCAGAACGAACTCCAGGTGACAGCTGGACCCGAGGGCCCTTCCTCGTGCGACGGTGGCTCGTAGGCGCGTGGCGACGTCACGATGACTCGCCACCAGTCCATGGCGGGGCCCCTGAGTAGTGAAACCGCATACCGAATCTTGGCGGCGTCCGACTCGACGTAGTTGGCGTCGAAAAACACATTCATCGTGAAGACCCACGATTGAACTGTCGGGCCGCCGCGTTGGCTTGGGTCGAAGCAGGGCGGGCGTTGCGGCTTGAGTGGCATTGGGGCCATCATGGCGTTTTCACCACTTGTCGTCGCAAACTCCACGTGCCGACGGGCTTCTCGGGGCTCCCGTGGGCTTAGCGTGCTCCTGTTCCCTCCCATGCCGGGCATCGGTTGGGCTGCGCCGTCACTGGCTGCGCCTGAGCGCTGTCCCGTGCTGTTGTGTTGCGTTGGTGTGCCGGATGAAATGATAATCGGCTCCTCCGAATGTACAGAGACATTGGTTGGTGCGTGGGATGTTGTCGGAGCATTCACCGTTGACTGTTGACGGGCGGAGTCACGTTCCGCCGTGAGCGTCGCGATTTCAAGCGCCGAATCCTCCAATTGTCGCACGAGACGATCGAGTTGCTCGTGCGTCAACGTGGCGAGATTGAGGTCGGCCATGGCGGGGGTGTCGGGCAAGCTCAGCGAGAGCCTCGGTCGTGGCCGTGCGTGCTTGCGAGAGAGCACTTCGAGCGGCGGTGCTGTGTCGCTGAGAGACGTCTACCCCCCCCAAAAATTGAGATAGTGGGAAGCGAAGGTGTGGATGCGGTCCGAGATGAGATCGTAGGCTCTGATTACCAAGTGTTACGTGTGCAATTGAGTGAACGAACGAGAATTGCACTATCGAAGCAAAAAGTACAATGAGCGAAGGCATGAGCGAAGGATTATATAGCGAAACAATAGTGGTAACGGTAATGGACTGTGGTTGTCGCGCGTCGAGCCTGAGACTGAGGTTGGGAAAGTGTCGAAGCGTAGGCCCGGAGCGCGGGTTACCAGCCGAGCCGTGAGGTCGGGATGCGATGTGCGAAAAAGGCGGGATGATGAATGATGCGATGGTCGCGAGTGGTAACGGTGCTGACTGAGGTGCTACAGTGACGTACGCGCTGGGCAGGGACGCGAAGTAAGGAAAAGGGAATTTCCTTACAGATAGAAACACGCGACCCAAGTGCTTGACACACGCCGGAATGCGCCCTGCGAACCCTTGGGCCTAATGTACACATTTTGACAGCGAACAGTGCATCCTACGATTTGAACTGGTTTGCTGGCACTTGGTCACAAACTAAGGGCGCGTGTCTTTTGGTGTAGAGTTTGAGAAAAAGTTAACTTTTTTTCGGTAACCTGCTTCGCGAACTTCGTAGATTGCGAAAATCGTCTGTCCCAGTTCATGGTTTGATGAAACTGAAGGAGACTGAACTCGGGTCGAATTTTCACGTGCACGTTTATCCAAACGTGTGTTTTTCTGCTCGCGCACAGTGAATTTGCGAATTGTACGACGCTTCTTGTAGCCGGATTCGTCACGAACATTGTCGTCTAGACCAGGTAACCTACGAAATTCGGGCACGATTCGGAATCTACTGTACATAGTCGAACTTCGTTAGTCGAACTTTGTTGTTCCATCTGTTTGATGTGAAAGGTAACACTGCGACTTGACCACAAATAGTCGAGAAAGTCGACCTCAGGTCAACCGAAGTTCAAATGGATAAAGCTGAACAAAAAACATGAACTACAAAGACACTCCCAAAGACGCACACAATCCTTCCACTTACCAGGCCTTCATTCATTCTGCAGCAGCCCATCTCCTGGAGTTAGCCCGTCATGCCCAAGATTAAGGTTCTTTTCTTCGCGCGCGCTCGCGAGCTCGTAGGCGCGGCAGAGCAAACCTTAGAGCTGCCCGCGGACGCCGATTCTCGCTTGCTCCTCGAGCGCCTCTACGACGCGCACCCGCCGCTGCGCGACCTCGCGCAAAGCGTGGTGCTGGCGGTGAACCGCGAATACGTGTCGCCTAGCGACCCGCCGACGGTTCTTAAAGACGGAGACGAGGTGGCTCTGATCCCGCCCATCAGCGGTGGATAACTGCTCCTCCGCGTCGCGGTTGGAGTGCTTCAGGTTCATTCTTCTCCTCTCGTCACGTCACATCGAATCTCTTCTTGTCGCATTTCTCTTCCCTTCATCTCTCTCACCGTTCCTTCTCACTGCCTTTACCCACCCAATTCCGGCTCGGCCATCTTTCCTCCTCGTTCATCTCCTCTCCTCCCATCATCGTCTCCTTGATTGAGCATCGTCACTGTCATCGTCATCGTCGACATACACCTCAGCATTAGCCTTGATGTCACCATCCACGTCAGCACCTGCATCATCAGCAGCACCGCCAGCAGCAGAAGCAGAAGCAGAAGCAGAAGCAGAAGCAGAAGCAGAAGCAGAAGCAGGAGCAGGAGCAGGAGCAGGAGCAGGAGCAGGAGCAGGAGCAGGAGCAGGAGCAGGAGCAGGAGCAGGAGCAGGAGCAGGAGCAGGAGCAGGAGCAGGAGCAGGAGCAGGAGCAGGAGCAGGAGCAGGAGCAGGAGCAGGAGCAGAAGCAGAAGCAGCAGGAGCAGCAGGGGAAGCAGGGAGGGCATGGGAGAGCGCGGGTGCAGACGTGCTGCTGGCCGTGCTACAGCGGCTGACAGCGCGTGAGTGGGCGGCGTGCTGCTGTGTGTGCTGGCATTGGCGACGCACGGCCATGGACGCCAGTCTGTGGCAGGCAGCATGTCACCGAGAATTCGCCATTCACCATCCGTCGCACTCCCCGCTCGCTCACCTCCTCCTTGACACACTCCCTCCCTCCCACTCTTCCGTGACCGCTTCCTCCTCATCCTGCCCCCCCTCCTCCTGCTCTTGCTCCTCCGCCACGTCCCCCTCAGCTTCATCGCTCCTCCCCTCTCTCCCCTCCCCCTTCCACCGCATCTTCCCACGCGCCTACCTCTCCCCCCACCGCCCCTACCTCTGCCTCGCCGCCCGCCTCGCCCACGTGCTCCGTGGCGTCGCCAGGTGGCGCGCTCTCATTCGCTACCGCCACAGCAGCAGACCCAGAGGAAGCAACCGGGAAGGCCGGAGCACATGGGCATGGAGGGCAGTGCCGGCCCGTGTGGTGATGCAAGGAGGTGTGACTATCTGGGTGGCCTTCGACCTGGCGCGTGCGGGGAGAGGGGCTAGCAGTCCCGGGGGCACCAATGGGAGCAATGGGCGCAGAGAGGCGGCAGAGGGGGGAGTGGAGGACGGGGGTGATGGGCAGGGGAGGGGGGATGTGGGGATGGAAAGGGGGAGGGCGGGTGATATGGGGGGGATGCATGAGGAGCAGGCGATGATGGTGGAGGTGCAGGGGTTGTGGCGGGGGGGTGGTGTGGGCACAGGGGCCATGTGGCTCACTCTCTTCCGCACTCACACGGATGCTAGTTGTCACTGTACCCATGGCGCCCATGCGCATGCCACACCTGCTGCTTCTGCTGCTGTTGCTGGTGCTGCTGGTGTTGCTGCTGGCGACGGTGGGCGGGAGTGGGTTGAGGATGAAGCGAGGGATGGGGAGGAGTGGGAGGACGAGGCGGGGGTGGGAGGAGATGGAGGGGCAGGGGCAGAGGGAGGGGCAGCAGGGCAGTGGGAGCGAGTGCAGCAGTCGCACATGACTGGCCTGTGCCTGTACTCAGGTAACGTGCTCAGCTGTAATGCGCCATGCTGTGCTGTGCTGCTGTGATGTTCTGTGCGGTGCTGTGGGCCATATGAGCATGAGTACCTTGTCTGAAGGGCTGGGGGTATTCGTGAATGCACTGTGATGCCATATGAGCAAGTATCATATTCGTGCCCTTCGCCCTTTGATGCTCTGATCACTCTTGGCAGGCTCTGAGTGGACCCTCCTCGCCTCTTTCTTCCACCCACCCGCCACGCCCCCCACCATCACCACTGCTGCCGCCTCCTCCCCCTCTGCGGCTTCTCTATGTGCGCGTGAGAGGGCAGAGGGGCAGCAAGGGGGAGGGGAGGGGCCACACGGGGTGGTATTCCTCCACGCCATGCACCTGCTGCACAGCTTCCCTCTCCCGCTCCGACACTCCACTCCCCTCTGCTGCCCCACCCCCACCGACATTTCCTCTGCTCCCTTCCCTGCCTCTGCTGCCTCCTCCTCTTGCGCCTCCTCTCCCCCGGCCACCCCCCCATGCACCTCACTGAGCGTCCTCATTGACTTGTGCCTGCCTCGTTCACTCCACTGCTCGCTCCTGCCCTCTCAAGGTGCTTTCTCGCCTACCCTCGACGCCACTCGCACGTCCTGCACGTCCTTCGTCCCCCTTCCTCTCTCTCTCCTCCCTCTCCTCCCCTCCTACTCCCTCCCTGCTTTCCTCCCACTCAAGCTCTCTCCGTACCAGACTGCTGTAACTTCAGATGCCATCCCTTTCCTTCTAGCCCTGCTATCCTTGCAGCCAGCCCTGCCTTTCCTGCACCCATGCCTCATCCCGCCACCACTCTCTGCTGTTGCCACAACTGTTGCCGTTCAGCATAACATTCTCATCCCCATCCTTTTCCTGCTTTCTGATCCCTCTTCCTCTTCCTCTCCCCCTGCTCCCGGCCCTCTCCCCTCTCCCCACCCTGCAGCCCATGCCATCACGCTCCATGCATACCTCTCCCTCTCCACTGCTCCGCCACACACTCACTCCACATCTATCCCCTTGTCACTGCAGTGGGAGGGGGCGGGCAGGTTTCTGCTGCCAACCCATGCCATGCACACTTGCAGCCACCACACGTCGGGCACTCACACACACACAGGCACAGGCACAAGCACACATGCATGCAGAGGCATTCACACTCATGCATCCACAGGCACAGGCACACGTGCATGCAACGACAGAAGCACCCCTGCTTGCGCATGTGCACGCCACACATGTTCCGCACGCCCCTGTCCACCGCATGTGCTCAGTGACGCCTTGGCAGACATCACCCTCTTCTCAAGGTACCTGCCTGCCTTCATCCAGCCCCTCTCCCTCCCCCAAACCTCTCCCGCCCCTGCCTCCCTCCCTACCCCCTCCTTCCAACCGTGCACATGCACCATCCGTGTATGATACGTGTCAGAAGCTTGTTTCAACGCTTGCTCTCTACCATCATGCGTTACATCGCATGTCCATTCACTCAACTGGCCGTTTCTAATTCCATAGCATTGTTGCACTTTTGCTAAACCCTCTCACCGCTTCGCACCTCTTCCCTGATCTCGCGTTTGCCCCCTCCTCTTGTCCCTGTCTGACGCAGCCGTGGGTGTGTGTTGCTGGGGCGGGCAGCAGTGGAGGTGTGGGAGACAGAGGGGGAACAGGAGGAGGGGGAGGAGGAGGATGCAGAAAGTCACTCACATCTGCCTACACTGCAGGGAGATGGGCGAACGGATGGGAATGGGGTGAGCAGTGGGGCAGAAGGGAATGATGGAGGTGGGGGGAGTGATGGGGAAGAAGGGAGCGAGGGGGGTGGCGCTGGGAGCATGGCATGGCGGCTGCTGTTTGTACCAGATGGTACAGACGAGCCTCTCTCTGCCAATGGAGTCACCATTGAATGGCGGGCGTCAAGGGGGGCGATGGGAGGTGCGGGAGGAGGTGGGGAAACGATAGGAGGCATTGAAGCACGAGCAGGGGGGGGAGGAGGAGGAAGAGGGGAGGAAGGATTTAGGATAGGGGGTGGGGAAGGTAGGGGGAAAGATAGTGGGAAGGAGGCAGGTGGTTGGCATGTGTCACTGCATTTGTCTGCAGAGGGTGTGCGTAGTGTGTTTGGCTGCCATGCATGTGACAGTGCGACAGGCTCTTAGTGTGCTCAAGCATCGTAATGCTCGTCCCCTAGTGCAACAAATAAACACTTAGGTATATGGACCATTACTAGTCAGGAGGAGAGACTGAAGTAGGAACCAAGTCTATACGTGGCAGCGACTGAATTAAAGTACCGTATCACCCCGGATATAAGCGCCATGGCGCTTATAATAAAATCGATTTTTTTAAGGGTGGCGCTTGTAATTGAATAATGGCCATAAGCGCCGGCGCTTATATAATGGTAAAAATGAATTTGCATAATTTAGGCATCAAATCGAAGCCCGTATTAAGGCGAACAAGACTGTGTAACGTGCGCATGGCATCATGCATGGAAACACGCCGAAAACAGACGCGCTTCGGTTTCCAACCGCACAAAGCCCGTCCAGGAGCAGCTCACCTGCCAGCGCTGATGCGAAACTTGCCTAGCGGCCCAATCAGGCTTTCGTGTGCTGGGTGGCAGCAGAATCCTCACCCGAACCATCTAGAAGCGGCCATCATGCCCTGCCAGCGCAGCATCGTGCGTGGCGCTAAACCCTCCTCTCCGGGTTCAGACAGGGGACACCCGTCTCTCCTCGACGAGGACCCCGTGGCGCTAGCCAGAAGGGGTCCCTTTGAATCCTTCATTTGTTCATTGCTTCTTTCAGTTTTTCGTTCTTGGTTCTTGATCTCTCCCGCCATGCTGCGGAAGCTATGGCGGAATTCACCGGGGTTCACTTCTTGTTCAAGAAGAAGCCTCCACGGAGGCTCGCGTTTAGAGTAGACGAAGACGGGTGGTACTCCCGCGTCCCACCATCTCCACCTAAGCCACCACAGCCTCCTGCGCCTCCTGCGCCTCCTGCTCCTCCTTCGCCTCCTGCACCTCCTGAGCCTCCTGTTCCTCCGACTCCTCCGTGCTCGCATAGTGCTGCGCCTCCGCTACACGCTGGATCAACGCCCGTGCTGACGCTGCTGCTCCCATCGTCGTTTGACGAGTACCTCTCCGAACCCGAGTCTAAGAAGCCGCAAGATGAGTGGGTGGAAGTGGAGCACGTTCCTGGTTCACGGTGGGGACAGCCTGACGACTGCCCGTGGGACGAATCGCAAGTCGGCGCCGACGATGATGTTGAAGCCGAAGCTGACGCTGACGAAGAGGAAGCGAGCGGCACTGTCGGCGGCGAGTATGGCACGGAAGCGAGCGGCGGGGGCGGCGCCGAGGGCGGCTCCGCTGAAGATGTTTTTCCCGAAGGCGTTCCCGGCGACGATGCCGATGACGGCGTGGAGTACTGGTCACGCGACGGGCTTCCCGAGACCCTGCCGATACCTTCCTATCCCCCGATGAATCGCAAGCGACCCCACCCCTCTTCCCAGAACCGTGATGCCCGCCCCCCCTCTCCCAGGCACAAGCTCACTGAGCACAAGAGGCAAGGTTACACCGCCGCGGAGAAGTTGAAGTGGGTTGCCAGGCTTGCTGTGGCAACGTCCGTGCGCGCTTTGGCTCGCGAGAGCGGAATCCACCCCAAGTGCCTCACGAACTGGAAGCGGGCGGCGGAGTTCCTCAAAGACGTGCACTCCGCTCGGAAACGCATGCACGGCCGTGGTCGGGCGTCGTGGTATCGGCCTATGGAGTTGAAAGTGTACGAGAAGCTTCTCGAGTGGCGCCGCAAGGGAACCGCCGTATCAGTCGGCCGCCTGCAGGAGTGGTCGCGGGAATACATGAAGCTGCTGTACCCGGACAAGCCCTGGAAAGGGAGCCAGAGGTGGTCGGAGCGCTTTCGGCGACGATGGAACCTGAGTGTCCGCATGAAGACCCGGGTTGCCCAGAAAACCCAGTCGCGTAAGAGTTACCCCATGTACTTTGCCGTGTTAATGTTTACTTGTTTTACCGGTACTAACACCCGCCATCTGTGACCGTCCTGTCTTCCACCTCCCTTCAGATGTCGCGGAGCTGTGCAGAAGCTTCTGGAAGTTCGTGCGTGGCATGCGTCGTGAGCGCGGCATCGACACCGCGTGGATCATCAACGCGGACCAGACGCCGCTCTGGCTGGAGATGCCCGCCACCACCACCGTGGATGAATCGGGTGTTCGCTCGGTGCCTATCAGGAGCGCGGGGTATCAGAAGCAGCGTGTGACGGTGATGTTGGCGTGTACGGCGGACGGACGGAAGCTGAAGCCGTGGGTGTACTTCAAGCGCAAGACCGTGCCAAAGGGCAATTTCCCACCCGGTACGTCAATTGGTGCACTGCTCGTTAACTGCGGTTTGTTCAGACTGCGAATTCTAACTGCTTCTCTTGTTTCCTGCAGATGTGGTCGTGGCTGCACACGAGAACAGGTGGATGGACTCCGCGGGTGTCGTCCGCTGGCTTGAGGAGGGCGTCAAGCCCTTCTTGAAGCCCAGGTTCGGTAGATGCGCCAAGAGCTCGATGCTGGTGCTCGACTCTTACCGCGGTCACCTCACCCAGGAAGTGAAGGACAAGCTTCGCGAGATGAACTGCGTGCCGGCAATCCTCCCGTCGGGCTGTACGGCGGAGGTTCAGCCCCTGGATGTCTCCATCAACAAGAGCTTCAAAGCGTCGGTCCGCCAGCAGAACCAGCGGTGGTTTGAGGCAGAAGGGCAAGAGCAGCTGACGACAGCAGGTATGGAATGAGCGCGTTGTTGTGTTTCAACCCCCCTTCCTTTTGCTTACCGTATGTATTGTTGTATTAACGGGATTCCATCGTTCTCCCGTTATTTTCAGGGAACTTGAAGAAGCCTCCTCCGGAGGTCGTCCTGAGGTGGATATCTCAGGCCTGGAAGTCAGTGCCTGCCGAGCTGATAAAGCGTGCCTTCCTCACCTGTGGCATCAGCAACGCGCTCGACGGCAGTGAGGACGGCCTCGCCATGGCGCACAGGCGGAGCCAGCTGACGGCGGAAGTGGACGTCGACGATGACATCATCGCTGATGGGTTTTTTGGCAACAACTGCCAGGAGCCCGAATCTGACGAAGACTAGACTAGTTAGCTAGAATTAGTGTTGCTAGACCTGCTGTTTCAGGTCTCTGATGTTGTAGCTGCTGTCATGATATTGTTATGAATGTGATTTCAATGTAAAACCAGCTAAGTAGTCGAATGGTGGCGCTTATAATAAGTACACAAATCTCAGGGGGGGCGCTTCTAATCGAGGTCCGGCCATAAGCGCCATGCTCCAGATAGAGGCGCCAGCGCCTATAATCGGACGGCGCCTATATCCGGGGCGATACGGTAGTCAATTTTCTGGGTTCCCTTGGGTTGCATTGCGCACCAGGCACATGGTACGGTACGGTATGGTTTTGATTTGAATAAATAAAAATGACTGGAAGCAAGCATGTTGGCTCTTTAAATGGATGCTTCACCATAAGCAGAAACGCCGAGCATCAAATCTTGGTCTGGGATGGCAAAGCAGGCGGTCATCTCGTTACGACACTGAACCAGGCTCCGACTAGCATCAAGCATGGATCCACTCTACGGTATTATTCTAACACATGCACATCATGTCATTCTGTCCGCTCTACAGCAACAGCGCATGTTGCATTGCAAGACACCCTCTCACCAACCTTGAGAGTGCTCCTATATGTATGGAATTCCTACAGAAGGCCACTAGTCAGCAATTTAGCATCAGTCCTCATGTGCTGATACTCGTCTCTGCTGCTGTCTCACACTGCGCTGCCCCTGCCCCTGCCCCTGCCCTTGCTCCTGTGGCTGCAAGTGCCAGGCAGTTGCATGTGCCATGCTGTTCTTAGGCGACGGGGAGTGCTTCGGAGAATGGCTGTTGCGGCGATGAAAGCTTGAACTCGGCACTAACCCCTGCTGCACCTGCAACTGCTGCTGCTGCTGCTGCTGTAGCTGTTGCTGCTGGTGATTGGTGTGTGGGCTGGTGTGTGGGAAGAGCGTGTGGAGGATGCGAGTGCAGGCGGCCATGAGCGCTCGGAGGAGGTTGAGGAGCAGTACGATGAGGGACGTGGGCCAGTAGAGTGGATGCAGTATGCGGAAGGAGAAGGATATCATGTGCCGGAACATGCGCCCCACCTGCTTGTACTTGCATACACATGCACATGCACATGCATCCACGAAAATGCACACAGGCACACAAGCACACATACACACATATCCGCATGCACGCAAACACATAAACAATCCCCATGGCATGCATACAAGGTGAAGAAGGGTTGAAAGTCCTGTGCAGACTGAGAGCGCTGTGCAGGGTTGAGAGAATTGTGCAGGGACGCTTCACAGAGTAGCAAGCGAGGAGCAGAGCAGCAAGGCAGGAAGAGGGGGAACAACGGCGAACAGCGTACAGGGTAGAGCGTATCGAGGGCGGAGCGAGCAGCTTGGCGCACGGGCCGGGTGGGGAAGAGCGGCCCACCCGGCACAGCCATGGAGTGCAGCGCCACCTGCAGGCGAATGGCCGTGGCTGACCGCAGATCCAGACCTGGTGGGAGATAGGGGTTGGAAGAAGGGGAAATGAGTCAAAACCCACTGGGCACAGCCGTGGAGAGCCAGTGAGATAGATAGGGAGGGGGTGTTTACGAGGGTGGACGGTGGAACGATGAGGATGTGGGGCATGACGTCAATGGCCCATTGTGTTGCAGCACAGCGGGCAATGCCGGGATATAATGATAACATGAAAGTGGTGCTGATGGTACAGGTATGGGTAGGGGCAGCGAGGGCTTGCCTTTGAGCGCAGTGCAGCGGTGCAGGAAGAGCAGCAGAACGGGTTCCACCTTGATGCGCTGCAGCTGCAATGGGGTCAATGGGGGGGGGGATGAGGCATGGGGGCATTGAGCAACAGCGGCATTGGGGCCAACAGGGCCATGGGGGCAGGGAGGTATGGGGTATGGAGGCATGGGGGCATTGGGCCGATCGGGAAATGGCGGCATCGCAGCATGAGGGGCATAGGGCCATGAGGGACATGGCGGCATGGGAGGCAGGGGGACAGTAACCCACCACCGAGCAGAGAAGAAGAAAGTCATTAACAAAGGGCAGGAAAAACGTCGCAAAGGAGGAGCGA